CTGCTCTGATATGCGGTTTTGTACCTTTTACAAAATTTACAGTTGAAGCTGAAAAGGACGAATCCAAAAAGAATGGTGGGTTTAAATTCGGGCTTATTTTATGAAACGTAGTGAAAAAAATCCTTTTGGTGTTCGGATGAGCCCGTGACTATACACTGAACTATGGTTATTTGTCCCTAGTCCATAATTTTGGACCATAGATGCTGTCAGAGCGCTGAGTGGAAACGTAACCAATATAACTGAAAATTTGCCTACGGCGCAATAAAAATGAAATTATGGGATTCTTTTGAATTTCATGAAAATGATAAATGCTAGGCTAATTTCGGTGTTTGTTGAATCGTTGCGGCTTAGTTGTTATAAACAAAAAAGACGATAATGTGCAAGTAACAAATTCGAAGATTCTGGCCTGCTGTTTGTGGGAACTGCAGATATGGTACCCTAGAACATGAATAGTGTCATACTGATGATAAATGTGATAGCAAATACCGGGCATTTTGCTTAAAGCAGGAATCGAACACTATAGGAAATAATAAAGTTTGGCAACGCAGTCAAAGAGAACTGGGGCAGGTAAGATAACGTGTGACAATTAGTTGTTCTGCCTAATCAGGGAAAAATCATTGCGATTCGTCGAATTTTCAGGCTCACGTTTAAAGCGAAGCACATGTACTCTCATTGGGGGCGTTTGGCTACCCGTCCGATGTAGAGAATCGTTGTTAGATACCAGGTACCCTCATTTACAAGCAACGTAATCGTCATTCGTTAACGGGTAACATCTGGTTTTGTTGGTAATTTGGTTGAAGTGAATGCTGACGTTTGAAGATTACATTACCGAAAATGTTTTGTTCAACAAAAGTGTCAATTTTCTTTACTTCATTAAAAAGTTCATCGTTCGTTTGTAGGAACAATTGATCTGGGTATACGGACTATACGGAGATGTATTATGGTTGTCGTCATATGGAGAGCAGGGAAGAAAATCCTCAAATGCTCTACAGTTAATTTGGTCTCAGTAGGATTGTTGTTTCAATAAACGCAGTTTCCGTCGCTTTTTTGTCGAAAAACAGAAACCCATGTTTCTGAGTGCCAATCAATGAAGATTCGGTAATCTAATAATATAGGTTACAAGAAATCTGCATATGCGCTCATCTGGACATAATTTTAACACGGCTCGGATGTACAAGTCCAAAATATTCTACAATTTTACGAACCTCGTTTAAATAGAAACGTTGCTAACCCATGGCTCATGTGATATACTGCGATTCAGTCTAATGCGGGGAGAGTCACCATCGTTCATTCAAATGTATAAAATTCCCAGCGGAACTCGAAATATCAAACCGCCTAGATGTGCCTTATTTCTAGGTTAACTCCATAAAACCTATTTTAGAGGATAATATCATACCTGTTCTTGGAATGTGCTATGTAAACGACGTTAAGTGAGTTGAACATCACCAGATTTTTGCTCAAGCTTTAAGGTTTAGGCAAACGTGATATTGGAACAAATATGCGGACGTGAAATAATGCCGCAACACCATCTTCCAGTTTCAAATGAAGCGTAAAGGATGTAGACATTTAAAAAACGTGGCTGTTGTTCAGTCGAACAAAGGATAGACACAGATTACCTAAATTTATCTGTCTTAAGCTTACTTTCACTAAAACTTGAAAATGAAACTTGTTAATACTACTACATTGTTAAGTAATTTTGCACGACACCAAAGCGCTCTGGTTGTCAGTCACTGCACACGACTTTTGTTCCTTTCGTTAATACCTATTAAGCAAGTGTATTTGTTGTGCATTTGTCGTAGGGTTAGACATCATTAGCCAGCTTTGAAGCTAATAGTATGGTGTAATGCTTGGCGTTTTTAACAAGTACACCATAAAAACAACATATCATTATTCCCCGTCATCCAGCAAACCGACCTGCTGGAATAGAACCACGCGGTAAGATTCTTCAGTACTAACGTGCTTTCATCTTCTTTTCAAATGACTTATGTTTTACATACTGTGAATTTTTGAATGCCAAGTTTGATAGACAAACAACCTACCAAAAGTCTAGAAAATGCGGACCAAAAAACCATCTCGCCGAATAAAACGCGTGTTCATTTGTGACATGTTAGGATGCTTTATTGCATTTTGCAACCTGTGTTTTAGACAGAATGAAAATCATAGTAGACAGTGTATTCGAAATATAATAGGCTTTTGGTTTGCGGTTGCCCTAAACAATCTTTTAACAGACATCTTAGCACACTGCTGTGTAACAAACACATAAACGCTTGGACGGGGTCGTGATACTACTTAAAAGAAGTGACAAAATTAAAGGACAGCGCAGATCAAAATATCCCTTTTGTGATTCCGCAATCAATGCGGATACTGTTTCCTAATTAGCACTAATACACTGGCATGTGAAACGGTCCACTGCTCTCAAAAAATCAGAAACCGCGCCACATAAGAGAAGCGATTTTAATTTTATAGTGTTGAAGATAACTGGAGCTGCTCCTGTCCTTTAGGAATCACTGCAGTGACGAATCTTTGTGAG